GAAGGAGGCGAAGACGCCTGGACGCCAGTCATTTCAACACCCATACCTTCTTGGCCTGATTTGAGTGGTTTTTCAGGACTACGAAATTCCGACTTTTCAACAGATGGCACCGCTGATACTGAAACGTTCGTCGGCGATGGAATAATGTGCATTGGGTGTTTTTTTACAATATGCATACCTTCTCCACTTTTAGCTGGAGGTATGAAAGCTTCCTGAACAGAAACCATTTCAACGTTTGCATCTTCGGGAGATGGTTTTGGAGAAGTTTTACCTTCCCTCTTTCCAGAATTCGATGATTCAGAATGCCTAGATTTTGAGGACCTCTTTTGTTGTCTAGTTTTTGGAAGCAACGATTTGCTCTTGGGTTTTGGAGGCGCGGAGACGTCCATAACTTCAGAGGGTTCTTGACTTCCTACGGGAGATTCTGTTGGTTTCTCAGATCCTTCCATGGAATCGGGAGTTTCAAAGGATGGTACTGCCGACCCCACAACTTCCGCAGTTGAAGCACTTATTTCCATTTCAATATCGATCGGCGGTTTTTCATCCATTGTTGGAGATTTGGGTGGTTCCACGTCATGATGTTTCTTCGTATCTAGCTTTAGGGCTGCCGGAACTTCTGGCGACTTAGGAATGACTTCTTCAGGTACTTCCATAGGCTGTTCCACCGACGACTTGATTTCAGTTTCATCAGTAATCTGAGGAGTTTGCTTTGATTCAGTGGATCCCGAAGCCTTCTTTTCACGCCTCTTTTTCCCGGCACCCTGACTTTTTGACGCATTTTTCATGCCTTTTTTTCCAACAGGTGATTTGGAAGATTCAGGTAAATCCGTCTGTGAAGGGTTGGGTTCCATCTGAACATCTGCTGGACCTTTATCCTCCAAAGATGGTTGTTTTGCATTTCTGGACGAGGTTATATCAGATTTCGAAGATTCTGAGGTTTGCTCTTCAGGTTCTGGTCCTCCCTCTGGTTGCGGAATTGCCGATTCTTCCGCTCTTTCCACGGATAATGCTATCTCAACCTCACTCACCTCGGATGATTCTGATGGTTTTTTGTTTCTTTTCTGCGATTCAGAAGATTTCCTTCCACGTTTATTTAACACCTTTTTCGGGTGTTCAGCAGAGGATGCCTCTCCTGTCTCAACACTCGAAACTGCAGGAGTACTTTCAATTTCTGCTTCACCTGACTTTGTCTTTTTAGATTCATCAG